CCCCCGCAAGAGCAGACTCGTTTCTGCAATAGTGCGCGCGCGCGCGCGCACACACACACACACACACACACACACACACACACACACACATTTTTAAAGAGAGAGTCTTAGTGTGGAACCCTGGCTGGCCTGGAACTCAGTACATAGACCAGGCTGATCTTGAACTCAGTGATCTGCCTGCCTCTGCCTCCTGAGTACTGGGATTAAAGGGATATGTCACCACACCCCTCTCCTGTTATTTAAAAAGTTTTGTGTGTGTGTGTGTGTGTGTGTGTGTGTTTTTTTTTGTGTGTGTGTGTGTGTGTTGGTTTTTGTTGTTGTTGTTGTTTGTTTTTGTTTTGTTTTTGAGGCAGGGTCTCCCTATAGCCCCAGCTGGCCTGGAGCTCACTATGTAGACCAAGCTGAACTCAACTCAACAGATTCCTGTGCCCTCCACCTCTCAAGTGCTGGGATTAAAAGTGTGCACCACCATGCCGGGCTAAAGAGGTTTTAAAAAATATTTTTAAAAGTTTTATGTGTATGAGTGTATTGCCTGCATGTATGTAAGTAGACCCATGTGTGCAAAACCCACGGAGGTCAGAAGAGGGCATTGGATCTCCTGGAACTGGAATTGTGGAAGGTTGTTACTGCCATGTGTGTACTGGGAACCCAAACCAGGTCCTCTGCAATAACACAGAGTGCTCTTAACTGCTGAGTCATCTCCCCAGCCCCTCCTGCTAACATTTATACTAGAAGTTCCTTCTGCCTGAATCACACTTTCCCTGAATCTGCAAAGCTGGTTCCTTCTGGTAGTTCAGTTGTCTGTTCAAATGTCACTTATTGATAAGATTGCAAGTACTGCCAAGTAAGTTGGGAACAGTGGCACACACTTGTAATGCCAGCACTCAGGAGGCTGTATAGCAAGACCTAGTTTCAAAATACCAAAAAGAAGAAAATTATCTAATAAAAATACAGGATGCTCAGTGAAATTTGAATTTCAGATTTTAAAAAATGAACAAATTTTCTATTTTATATCTTAAACATTGCTTGGGACAAATTAAACTTAAGAAATTAAGGCAATATGGTACACTTGGTGGGGGGTGGCTAAAGTGGGAGGACCACCACAGGCTTGAAGCCAGCCTGGGCTACATAGAAAGAGCCTATCTCATTTTTTTTCATTGTTCACTTGTCAATTTCAACTTGAACTACATGCTCTGGACTTTATCTGACAACCCTTCCTATTGGTAGAAACCTCTCTTCTTTAATCTATTTAAATCAACCACTTCCCAGTCTTCCTGTTATCCTGATCTGTCAATCTGTTTTATTTACTTCATGGCATACATCATCAGCTGAAATGATATTATTCTCAGGAATATTGACTGTTTCCCAAAAACTAGATCATAAGTTTCCTGAGAGCAGAAACATTTTTGTTCACTGATGTGTCCTCAAAATGTAAACAAATGCTGATGTGAGGCTGCAAGGCTGTAATCTCAGCATTTGAGCGGCAGAAGCAGGAGGAATGCCCCAAGTTCAAGGCCAGCCTAGGCTATATAATGAGGAATAAACCAGTCTGGGATGCAGAGTGAGACATTGCCTCAAAAGAAAAAAAAATCTAAAGTGTCATGAAGGTGTGGTCAAGTGTAAAAATGTTCCCCTGGGGTTAAAAAACACTGAGCAAGCACCTAAAATAAGTCCTCACTAAATAGTCCTTGAATTAATAAGAACAGAGGGGAATGCTTCTTGCCCTGAGGTAAAGAACTGTGAGACCCAGTGATCTCTGTTTCTACTAGCAAAAAATAAAGAATCTGGGTTGCAAGGTTTCAACCAAAATCTTCCCTCTGTTTTGGGGACCTTGAGTTGTCTGGAAGTGCCCATCCATGTGCCTTCAAAAAAGGCCAGAAAAGAGATGGTCGGGGGGATGGGGAGTATGGATTCATGAATTTGGGCTCATTTCGTGAAAACAACATGTAAAGTCAAAACCCACAAAAATATTCTTTCTAGGGGCTGGAGAGATGGCTCAGAGTTAAGAGCACTGGCTGCTCTTGCAGAGGACCTGAGTTTGGTTCCCAGAACCCACATGGCAGCTAACTCCACTTCCAGGGGCTATGATGCCCTTTTCTGCTCTCTGAGGGCACCATGTACTCACATGGTACACACATAATCATGTATGCAAACACTTATTCATGTAATAAGAGCGGCAGAGGTCAGAAGAGGGTGTCCAATTCCCTGGAACTGCAGTTACAGACAGTTTTTAGCTGACATATGGGTTCTGGGAACCAAATCTGGGTCCTCTGCAAGAGCAGCCAGTACTCTTAACTGCTGAGCCATCTCTCCAGCCCCATAAAATAAAAAATATTTTTTAAAAAATATTCTTTCTATAACAAAAACAGGCCATGCCCTCGAGGAGGGCTGGAAGTCCCTTTTCAGTCTCAGGCTTTGCTTTTCTTGCCCCAAGGGCAAATGCCAAGAAGGCTTTGCCCCCGCCTTGTGCCTAAGGGAACTCTGAGAGCCAATCAAAGAAAACTGTAAGTTAGGGAGGGTCTTTAGATGGCCCCTTCCCCTGCTCTTCCTCCACTCTCTGTCCCTTTGATCCACAAATGAGGGTACAATAGCCTCCTCCCAGAGAGAAGATTAGGTTAATGTGTTTCTGATGCCTCAACTTGGTGCAAACCAGAATAAACACGAATGGCAAAAATCAGCTCGTGAGCTCATCATGCAGGCTTTGATCAGAGACATAATTTCATTATGAAATTTTGAATCAGGCTGTTATGAAGTCTTGCCAAAGAGTTTCATTTTCCCAGATGATATAGTGGGTTGTTTCTCCCCTGTTCTCATACCCTGCTTGCATTGATCGTACAAACTTCACATCTATTTTTACAGTCTGACCTATCAACCCTTTTACAACAGTATTTGCAGATCCTGACAACCACCCTCAGCTCTCCTGGCAGGTCATAAGCCTGATGGAGGTGGGTTAAGCTCAAGTTACTGGTTTGCTTTGCCTGCCCTGCTTCCCACAGTCGAATACAGGGACTGTTTTTTCACTCATTTTTTTTCCTGATGCCATGGCAACTAGAAGAGGCAAGACACCTCCCAGGCATACAATTCCTCAGCTTTACACAGACGGAATAATTTAACTACCCTGAAAGCCTGCGATGTGATTCCATGAGTTATGGTCAATGAAGACGCCATGCCTACTATTCCAATGTGATGCTCTCTCACTTTACCCAGTCCCAGGGTTGGCACCTTATCCCCTGAAGTCCTGTTCATAGTACCCACAGGTCTGTGTGAATGGGGAGAGTTCCCCTGAGAACAGCTAGAAATGACTCTTCTGAAACATCCCTGTGCTATATTTTGGACTGGTATTTGCCCAGAAAGCTGAGACTCCTGGCCCCATTTTTGTCACTGGGGTCAGCTAGGTTGACATCATTTGCTTCTAAAAAAGAATATTCAGTAGTGGTCTGAGGACCACCAACATCAGAATCACTTTGGGGGAGCAGGTTAAAAATGCAGGCTCCTGAGCCTCACCCCAGAACTTCCCAGGTCCACCCTTCTGGAGGTAGGGGCTCAAATGTAAGGAACCTACTTTTTAGTGATTTTTTTTCCCCTCCAGCATTAGCGTCAAATCTGGAGCTTTCTGCATGCTAGGCAAGTGATCTACCACTGAGTTAAATGCTCACAT